TTAGGGCTCCGTAGGACTTTTATCTACGATCGTTTGATATACGAGTCAGCATTGAACTCCGCTGCAATCGCTGCAATCGCTGCCAGATGCCAGCTCCAGACCTCACCCACCGTATCCTGTGATTTTGGTCAGCATAAATCGCGGCCTCCTCGAGCGCCTCCCCAATTTCAACCGAGGTTTCAACCCCGTGGTGCCTTGCCATACCAACACCCAGAAAAATCCCAAGCATAGGGACTCAGTCCCGACCATCGATACCCCAACGAGAATGATGTTGGTGATGACTATCCCCAATCAAGTCTTCCAAAGCACTACGGACTCCATAAATCCCACCTCGTCCAGCGCATTCGACTTGCACATCGCCTGCTGGACATCACCTGTCAAGGCCCGTTTCCACACATCCATGTTATAAAACCAATCGACGATGCACTCCCGGTCCCTTTATCCCATCGTCTAGCTGGCAGCGACAGCAACAGCCCAGCGCGGCTCCGGCGAGATCTGCTTCCCCTATCCGGCGGCTTCTGCGACGAAGGGCTGCCGTGTGTTTCGTGCCGTCTGAATGTGCCTGGTGCGCCGAGGATAGCGAGTCGTTGTCTTGTAGCGCAGATACTTGCTTATCTGGATGTGTAGTGTGGCTTTCATAATCCCTGCAAGGTGCAAGGGGTCAGAGTCGTGGTACGGTGGTTGTTGGTAAGAAGGAAGGCGGGGTCGGGGTGGGTTTCCTTTTCTGGGAGGTGAGCTTGCTCGGAGTTAGTGTTAGTGTGTTGATGGCGCTCAGGATGTGGTGGTATTACGTACTGAGTGGATGGCAATCTCGATACAATGAGATCCTTGCTATAACGGACCGGAGTGGCGTTCTGGATCGGTTCGTTGTAGCCTTGGATACTTGATGTAGTCTGTACTACAGCTTGCGTTGCGAGTGTTGCTTTAGCTCGTTGTTGCCTTGGTCTTCAGGCTTTTTAGCGGTTGAGACCTCGAATATCGATGTGTTTCTGTCTGTCAACATCTTCTGTGTTGCAATTCCCCAGAGAGGGATCGGGTTCTGCATGTATTCATTCTCCGAGTGATCAGGCCATTTGGTCGGAGGTATGTTGCGGTGCGAGTGATGATCCTAGTAAACTGTGCATGGAGAGTGGACAGGCTGCAATGGCCGGGTCATATGGCCGGGGTGGTGTCATCATCCGGGCCATCTGTCTCCAAAGGAAGCATGTGATCTGGAGTAACGGTTCCTGACACCGTCGGCTGAGCCATGGTGGGGAACAGCTCGGCACCCTCAGCTAAGACTTGGACCGAACGAGGAAGCTCACTTGTTAGCGGGATTGGAGCTGTGCAGTCACCCGCGCTTTCCTCTCTTCGGGTACTTCTTCCCTGCTCAGCTTGGAGGAAGCTTGCAGGTGCTCTGTAACCGAAGCTCTACCATGGCATGGCAAGCAACCACTTACAGGTCTCTATGCAAATTAAACCGTGGGCCTGACATCAGAACAGAAACAACACACACGCGAGTCACCCCACCTGTTGGCGTATAGCACGAATGAATCTCTCTCTGGATATTAAAGCTGACCGCCACGAGATGGGTAGATCCTGATCGGGCTCGGACAGGCTCGGATGCATCAGGTCGAGGCCGCATGCGGCGACCATGTGCGGCAAGCTTCTCTCGGCTGCAACGTCTTGTCCAAATCGTCCTCTTCGATAGGTGCGATAATTCCCAAATCCCGCTAAGGAGCAGCCACAATCTGTCGCCTCAATCTTCCACCAGCCAACGCACGAAGGCAATTTCGCTCAAGCTTCGCCATGCGTCCACCGCCTAACTTTCCCGATGCTTGGATAAGGATTCTGCCGTCTGAGGTCACCTGACCTGGGTGCAGACTGCGGCTGCGGGGGAAAACGCAGGATTTCTGGGGGTGGGCTCGATTCCCACTTTCTCCTCGATTCTCACTCAATCACCAGGTTCTTATTAGTCCATTGGCTCTCCGCAAACCAGGTTGCGTGGTACGATTTGAGCCAACCGAAACGAAATGTCTCGGACACAGTTTCCATCCCCGCAAAGAGTGACCCGACACCCAAGCACCCACAGTTCCAGGCTTATCCCAGTTTGGCCCTGGGGCCCCGCATACCCGGATTGAGATTTATCCACAGAAGGCTAATCCCCCGCGGGGTTACCCATCCTCACAGTCTCACGCCTGGCCCTCGCATCAGTCCATCCAATTTCAGTTGATTTCCCTCTCCCTTGCGACTGGTTCGCCAAAACGCCACCAACCCTTTAGCTCCGGATTTCGCACGCCACAACCACCTCCCCTTCCAATCGAACCCTGTTGTCTCGGCGTCTGCCCTGCTTCGGGTAACGCTCCCCTGTCGTCTCACCCAAGATGCTCGCTTCCTGCGTCGGAAAAATTGGCAAAACCCCGGCGGGCAAACACAGACTAGCTCCCCTGGCTGTGAATGCAACCTCAGGCTGGGAGGCGTGCAGGCCGCCGAAACTATAAGACCCGGTACTTACCCTTTTTCCCGGCTTGGCTTTCTCTCCTTCCGTGTGGCACTTTGGCATTATTTGCGCTTGCAGTATGTCGACCGACTATGAGAAATCCAAGGGTGAGCTCCAAGGGGAGCACGTCGACGTTGATCATGTCGAGCTCAAGCAGAACTCTGAGCTCATGAGAGAGGCGTTCGATGCCGAAAATCGCGAGCATGAAATGGGCGTGTGGGAGGCGGCCAAGACGCACCCCTGGGCTTGCTTGTGGGCTTTCATCATGTGTTTCACTATTGTGAGATGATCTTCGGTCGATGATTGCCGGATCGCCGCTAATGCAGATAGGTCATGGAATCGTTCGACATGTTCCTGAACGGTAACTTTGTCGCCCTCGATGCATTCCAACAAAAGTTTGGTGTTTCCGTGGCGGGTTCAGAAGACAAGGTCATCCCGACTCGGTGGCAGAGTGCTCTGTTCCAGGCTGGCCAATGTGGCGCATTTGTCGGCGTCTTTTTAGCCGGTCCAATCACAAATAAGCTGGGATACCGATGGACGACTATAATCGGCCTGATCCTCATGAACGCCACTATCTTCGTCTCCTTCTTTGTAAGTTGTTCTGCATCCTCCCTCGGAGCTACCGTCTGACGCAATTCAATTAGGCCAACTCACTCGCCCTTCTGACCGTGGGTCAAGCTTTGGAAGGTGTCCCATGGGGTTTCTTTATCGCCAACTCCCCGGCCTATGCCAGTGAAGTTGTGCCCCTCGCTCTGCGAGGTGCATGTACCGCGACTTTGCAGATGTCTTGGTCCATCGGTTCGATTATTGTCGCCGGTGCTACCTACAGCTACAACAAGTATGAGAATGAGTGGGCCTGGAAAGCGCCCCTGGCCTTGCAGTGGATGTTCCCGGTCAGTCAACCCTTGCTTTTGTTCCACTAGCGCAAGCTGACCCTTTCAGACACCTCTCCTGATCCTGGTTTTCCTTGCCCCCGAGTCGCCTTGGTGGTTGATTCGTCGTGGGCGTCGGGATGAGGCTCTTCGCTCCATCAAGCGCCTCGGTAAGGAGAAGGAAGAGGAGGCCCACCAGGCTTTGGCCATGATGGAGCGTACCGTCAAGATCGAAAAGGAGCAGGGTGGAAGCCCGACCCTCCTCGACCTTTTCAAGGGTACTGATCTAAGGAGAACGGTGATCACGTGCCTTGTATATGGGGGCCAGAACCTGGCTGGGAATTTGATTGCCAACCAAGCAACCTTTTTCTTCGAGCGTGAGTAATCCCACAGTTCCCGAGACGAAGCATGTGAAGAATGTAATGGCTGATAAACTGCTTAGAGGCTGGCATGTCGTCCGAGCGTGCTTTTCAGCTTAACCTGGTCAACTCGTGCCTCCAACTCGTCGCCAACGGCCTTTCCTGGGTTGTAACCGCCTGGTTCGGACGCCGCACGGTCTACCTCTGGGGCACTGCAACCAACATCGCTTTGCTCTTTATTCTTGGTATCGTCGCCTCGGTGGAACAGAACAACCACACCAACATCGCCCAGGCCTCTCTCGGAATTCTCATCTCCTTCATTTTCGCGGGTACTCTCGGACCGATCTCCTACACCATCATTTCCGAGACCTCCTCCATCCGCCTCCGTGCGCTGAGCACCGCTGTCGGTCGTGCTGCCTACTATGTGGTGGAAATCCCCATGATCTACCTGGCCTCGAAGATGCTCAACACCACCGGATGGAACCTGGCGGGCAAGTGCGGTTACGTCTGGGGCGGTACTGCCTGCGTGTGCTGGATTGTGGCCTACTTCTTTTTGCCCGAGCTGAAGCACCGCACGTACCGTGAAGCTGATATCTTGTTCAACCGCAAGGTTCCGGCTCGGAAGTTCAAGACGACTGTTATCGGGGTCGACGAGAACGAGTAAGCGTGAGTGCACTGCGAAAGATTCTAGAGCGCTTTGTGATTATATGCGCGTGATACCAGCGATGTGATAGTTGATTAATTGATTAATGCATTGTGCATGTATGTTGAGCTTCTATTAAAACTCGTAGTGGGATGAGGCAAGGTATTGTACCACAGAAACAAGATTCAGGATTGCCCTGTTGCTAGTCATAAGTGCTCGTATTGTGTGCCATATGCAAATTGCTTTCTTCGTATCCGGCTATATTCAAACAAACAATGCGGAAGGCACAGGACATACTAGCCCTGACGATTCTGCTCACGGACGGAGTTCGCAATCGTTATTCCAGCTGACCTTACGGACGGCTCACCAATACATGTTGCACTGCATGTCTAATATGAAGAAGATCTCAAATGTCAATGCCCATGTATCTTGGGGCACGCCGAGATATCCCCATTAGTAGCAAGCAAACATTTTGGCCTGACGGGGTGACTGGTGCCCAAGTGCCCAAGGCACCAGTCACCTGGTAGTCTAGTCTAGCTGCCAGCCCAGGCCAGCAAAATGACAAGCAGAATCCGATCTGCCATCGTTCCGCTAGTTACTCCCCAGCCCAGTTGTCATCTCGGCTGGTGGTCGAGATTGAACCAACGATGTCATCGGTAGACTTTGATGGTGCGAACTCTGGTTTCCAGGTCGGGATCAATACTGGTGCAATCACCACCCAGCTTCATGTCGCACCGGGTAAGTTTCCCCCGCTGCAGTGCTCGTCTGTGATACCATCCCCTGGGAAGCAGCAGCCCGCAGTCAGTGCTGGTGCTTGCTCTCAGCTCCCATCTCCTTCTTGGCTCTCCGCTTGATCTCGTCACCAAAGCATCATCGGAAGGCCATCGCCGCAACAGTCGCGAGCTAGCTGTGGCTAGCGAAGTTTAACTAAGTTTTTTAGTTGTCATTTCAGTTCCAACGTATCCACTGACAGCATCGCTCCACAGAACGGCCCGAAACACCGCCCCATCCACTCTGCACCGTTCCGTTCCGTCGCGATCCAGACTTCGTCGATCGCGGGACACTTCTCGACCAGATCCGTGAAAAGTGCTCCGCTCCTGCTTCTCGAATCGCGCTTGTCGGCCTCGGTGGGGTTGGGTAGGTTCTCATAACCCATGGAAGACTGACAGCGTTACTGATCTCTCGGAGGAAATCGCAACTTGCCATCGAATACTGTTACCGAGTCCCTGAGAATTTCCCGAACACGTGGGTCTTCTGGGTACACACGAGTAACGCTGCTCGATTCGAGCAGGACTTCCGGGAGATTGCCGACCGTGTCAGAATTCCCGGTCGCAAAGATCCTAAGGTCAACATCTTCCAGCTTGTTGGGGGCTGGCTCAGCGATGAGAGGAAAGGCAAATGGATTCTAGTCCTTGACAACGTCGATGATGAGTTTCTGGACAAGGCTGCTCCTGGGCACTCAGGCAGTACAACTGGAAAGGTACTCTTGGAGTATATTCCTCAGAGCCGCCATGGATCCATCATCATCACCAGTCGCAGTGCTGCGGTTGCCTCGCGGATGGTCGAGCCAAGAGATGTTATCACGATTGCACCGATGCACGAGACGGATGCGCGACTGCTCTTTCAGAAGAAGCTTGATGTTCAAGAGGATCTTGCTGGCGATGAGGTGGATGAGATTATGGCCGCTTTGGAGTACATGCCGCTTGCGATCGTGCAAGCCGCAAGCTACATCAGATACCGCTCGCCACGATTTTCCGTGTCACAATATCTGCAACTATTCCAGAAGAGTGATCGCAAGAAATTGAGTCTTTTGGATTACGAAGGGGGCCACCTTCGTCGAGACCGAGAAGCGCATAATTCGATCATGATCACATGGCAGATAACCTTCGATCACCTGCGGCGAGCCAGGCCTTCGGCAGCAGACCTGTTGTCACTGATGAGCTTTTTTGACAGACTGGGGATTCCTGAAGCCTTACTCCGACATCGAGAAGACAAAGACAACCATAAGCTAGATCTATGGGAGAAGGGCCTGGCAAACCTGAGTGATGAAGATAGCACATCTAGTCATGATGACCAATTCGACGTCGATGTCCTGACATTGAGAGACTATTCGTTCATCTCCATAACATGAGTAGATGTTTTCGAGATGCATCGGCTGGTACAACTTGCAACACTCAAGTGGCTTGAAATCCAAGGACAGTTTCAGAATTGGAGGGAACGTTTCCTCGATATTCTCCGCAATGCCTCACCAACAAGTGATTACGGGAATTGGGGGACATTGCAGGTATTGTTTCCGCATATACGAATGGCCGCAACTCAGCCGCCCGATACAAAAAGGTGATTAAAAAAGTGGGCTGCACTCGTGTATGAGGCAGTGTGGTATGCATGTGACAAATGGAACCCAACAGATGCAAAACACTTAGCGAGGAAGACTCAAAGAGCATGCCGGGAGCTATTGGGTCCAGATCATCTGGTAACGTTGCAGGCCACTAAAACAGTAGGCGTTGTGCACGCACAGGCTGCGGAATGGGAAGAGGCTGAGTTCTGTGTGTCGAGGGTAAGGGGTTTTCAAGAGAGAAGATCAGGCCGCGAAGAACCTGAGACCCTGAGCACCACAGGCCACCTCTCGCTTATATACCTGAGCCAGAATCGATGCGAGGAAGCCGAAAGGCTACAACTACAGGTGCTGAATACCTGCAAGATCGCGCTAGGCCCTAGACATCGAGTTACATTGACCAGCATGGACTGTCTCTCGCGCATATATCAGTACAGAAGGCAATGGAGAGAAGCCGAAGAGATTCAAGTACAAATAACGGAGGCGTACATCTCAATTTCAGGCCCCGAGCACCCTGCAACGTTGAAGAGCATGGGTCAACTTGCTCCGATCTACCAGCGACAGGGCCGCTTGAAAGAGGCCGCGCAGCTGGGTAGACTTATTGTGAAGAGTTCCAAGAGAGAACTAGGAGCTGAAGATTTTGAGACATTGATGAGCATGCACCACCTCGCAACCGCATGCGGGCAACAGGGTCAATGGGAAGAAGCCAAAGAGCTCCACACACAAGTATTGAACAGCCGGTTGAAATTGCTGAGCCCCGCTCATCCTTTAATACTGACCAGCATGATTAGCATTGCATTTTGCCTCTCACACACGAATCAACATTTCGAGGCCTTGAAATTAATCTCCGAATGCGAGTGCCTGATGAGATACCACTTAGGCCCTGATCATCCTAATACTAGGGATGCGTCGGACGCACTGGCAGAATGGCAAACCGAGACATGGCCATCGAAACCCGGAGAAGAAGAGGTCTCTACCGGGTTCGGCATGGTATCCCAGCAGGAAGGTTAATCATACGGTTGCCTAGACGCTCGGAATATGCTGACATCGTGTAAATCACTTTGGGGAAACAGGCTGACGCGCAATTTCTCTGATCGTGTTTCTGTCCAGACTAAATAACAATGGAATCAATCTCGCGACTCCAGGGACGATGCGAGGGCTCTCTGGCTCTGGCTTCACGGCTCTCAAGTCTGTGAACAAGCAAGCCCGCCCTATCGATTCAGAACCTCACCGAGACAAGCTAAGTATAAGCGTAACAATACTTCCCCGACCGCGAATCCACCACCTCTCCGATCCTCCGCTGGCGATCCAAGACTCCAAAGTCCATCACCGTATCCAGCGTCACCAATGGCGCGTCGGGAGGGTTATAGATCACCGCCGTCCCGTTCAGCGCGTCCCACCGCGCCGCAAAATCCCGCTCCTGCCACAGCGCCCACATGCGATCCACCATGCCATGGTGCAGGAAGAAGGCGGGATCGTGCGGGCTGGCGAAGACATCCAGCATCGCCCCACCGACCGTCGTGTGTCCGCCGCCATGCGACCCGATCAACGTCGCGTTACTCGGGTCCATCACGGCCATGAAGGCGTCCATGTCCGGCGCTCCGAGCAGCATGTCCACGCGCTGCTGGGTGTTGAGGATCTGCAGCGACTCGGGACGGAAGTTCCGGTTCAGACACCTGGGGTTGTAGCGCCACGGGTCCGGCGGGAGGGATCCGTAGGATTTCACGAAGTCGCGACTGAAGGGGCCGAGGTGCAGGGTCCAGTTTGCGAAGGGCCCGGAGGTCACGCATCCGCCGCCGACGCCGGGGGGCAGACACCCGCCTAGATTGGCGGGGCAGAGAGCGGGGTGTTCGACGGTCGAGGCGTTGTAGATGCCGTTGCCGCCGAGGGAGGTCGGGGAGTTGTCGAAGAGGGGGCTCGATGGGAGGTTGTTGTGGGTGTAGAGCGGCCAGTCCCAGTATCTGCAGTATTTATTAGCTTTTGGGGAGGTGGGTGGTGGGGAGAATGGGCATACGGTTGTGCGCCAGCGTATCCGCATTCTTCACGGATGGCTTGCTCCCATAGCCAGGTGAAGTGGCGGTGCCAGGGGAGGAGGAGCCCGTTGTTGTGAATGACGAGGGTGTTGTTGATGTGTGTGCTGTCGGCGTGTTAGAGCTTTGCTGGTCTGGGAGTTGAGTTGCAGGTGGGCGGCTCACATCACAAAATCATCGATGCGATCACGCGCGCCGGGGAATCGATCGCGAGGAAGGCGCGAAGGCCGACTGCGCATACACCACAGGGCGTCGATGTAGTCTGTCCGCTCTTGGGGTTTCAATTCCTGCCTGGCAAGGGTCAGATAATCCTAGAATCCTATCTGGGCACGGAGCGGAGTACCATTCCTGGCGAATTTGTGCGGTCTCTGGATGACAACGCGACTGGGGGGCCGCCAGCACAACGGTGGCGGCAAGCAGGAGAGAACTGAAGATGCGCATCTTTGACCGAACTGCCGAGTCACCCGTCCTCAGGCCGAAAGACTTGCGCGACGACTACGTAGAAATGCACCTTATATACCCCACGGGGTCCAGAGATCAGGCAACCTCAGCTTTCGACCCTGCATGCTGGGTACACAGCATGAAGGACGTCCCGGGTATTCGCAGCAGACAGATCCACCCATGCCAGAGAAGCCAACATTTCGGCGTCTAGGGACAATTCCGCTTCGATTCAGAAAAAGCAAAGCTGGCTATTGGCAATTATTTCCATTAGACGGGTGTATAGTGCATATGATACATCAGATCGATCCTCCCCGCCGCTAGTAACACTCGATACTGTCGATGAAGGGAATCGGGTCGGAGGAGGTGTGTAGGCCTGGGTTGAGCATGGTACTCCGGCCAGTGCAGCCGATCGCACTGGTTGCTGTCAGTCACCTTCCCTCAATTCTCTGGTCCGGGGTGAAGCTTACGTGAATAGTCGACACGGCCGCGACAAGAACACGGTGTTGACCTCCCTGTAACCTGTCAATTTTTGCTCGGAATATCGACGATCGATCGCACTTACTCTTCCGAGAACTTCCAGCAGTCGTTCAAAGGCACCTGCATGGACCGACTCCCCTCCGTGGTCTCGTATCCGACCTGTCTTCTGGTCAGTGTGCGATTGAGGCTTGGGGGTGTGTCTACGCGACTCACAGTGGTCCATTCCATTGCGCTGCTCACCGCCGCGAGGAGCAGCGTGCCCAGGGACAACGACAACGATTTGATGGCAAGCATGGTGGCGGTGGCTGTTGGAGAGATCACCAGGGTCTGATTCTTTGGGGAACAAGAGGCCGATGATGGACTGTCGCGGGCGCGCACTATCTGACACGTAGTATTTAAGCTGTCGAGGGCGCGGCAGGTTAGGCAGGGCCTTTGTTGTGGTTTGCTCACATCCCTTGCGTCGATCGGGCGGCGCATTCCAAGCGCGACCCTGCGTCACGGTGGTGGTCGAATACGAGGTTGTTGATTCTATGGTTTGCTACTCCGTACTGAGTACGGAGTACTGAGGGATGGTTGAGTCCATCAGCAGAGAACTGTTTTGGCCTCGTTGCGACCGATACGTTAGGTCTGGTGTGGTCAGGTGACTGTCGCACACGGCCGTTTGAAGTTGTTTACGGTCGGATCTGAGAGCGAACACGGCAGCTCGACCCCGAGACTCGGGATCCCACTTGATTTACCCCATCTGGGGTTTCAACCTTTAAATTGCCGAGGTTGGGCAGGGTCTAATTGCGGGTGAAACATTATCCTCAGGGCCACAAGAAACGACGTTATATACTGTGCTTATATCTCCGATGCAGAGGTAGTGCATTCTCCATACTCGCATCTGATTTTCTCTTCGCTGCAAAGCAGCTTTTTGCACAGTGCGATGCATGTTGTGCGTGTGGCGATCCAAGCCATCGGAAAAGGGTTGAGTCATCGGGGCGGATAAATATCCGCCACAGTCAAGCCTCAAGCCTTAAGTCTTGAATCAAGCTACCTAAGCTGTGCCATCCGTAACTTAGCTGGCAGCCTGGCAACTTACCACTGTCGAGAGACTCGAGGCAGCGAAACACAATGTGAAGGGCCCTGGGAAGGAAGCTTGGATCCCAAACTCGGCGTGCGGGGTTGGCACGTGGACCAGCTCGACTAAGGCCCAAAACAGCCATCCGGGAGTTTGGCTCGGGAGTTGAAACTCCCTCATCCTCGGCCGGACGGCTGACCACCTCGGCTGCCTCGTCGGACGGTATTATATAACGACCCTGACAGCCCCAGGCGGGCGTGACCGGCAATGTTGGCGGCCTCCTATCTACCGCCGATCCACCGCGTGCTCGCTTGCTGGGCAATCACAATGGGCGGCACTGACCGGGGGATCCACGTCACCCCGTGTGGGCAATCCAGCCCGTTCTAGAGGTCCTTATCTCGGCTAATTGTGGTTTGCTCCCCGGGTTTGGCCCGCTGCGGGTCCGAAAGGCGTGGATTCGTCCCCGTGGGGAGGCGAGGGGAGGGGAAACGGGAGGGTCCGGGGTCGAGGGCAGGGGGATTTCTCTTTATCTCCCCTTCCCCAGGTTGACGTGGGCCTCATACGATGCTGAGAGCTGTCACCCCATCCTCCCATCATGCCATCTATCGAAATGTCGACCTCCTCGCCGGAAGACCTATCCGGCAAAGCACACTCGGACTACTTCGAGACGACCGAGAAAACCGCCTACGTCTCCGATGCCGTCGAGTCACTGTCCGAAGCCCACAAGGCCTACCTGATCGAACGCCATGGCACCCTGGAACTCGATCCGGTGCCGAGTATGGACCCGGCGGATCCGTACAACTGGCCCGCATTCAAGGTAGAACATCTCACCTGGTGCCGTGTCTCGTAGAGAAAGCTGGGGATAATAACAATGAGCAGAAAACCTTGAACCTGGTCCTCGTCGCCTTCCACGCCTGCATGGGCACGTTCACCGCGGCGGCCATTATCCCTGCCTATGAATCGATCTCTGAGGACCTGGGGGTGAGCATCCAGCGCACCAGCTACCTGACCTCGCTGCAAATCGCCATCCTGGGCGGCGCCCCGTTGCTGTGGAAGCCGCTGTCGAACCGCTACGGCCGCCGTCCAATCTTCCTGCTGTCGCTGGTGTTGAGTTGCGTGTGCAACATCGGCTGCGCCCGCAGCCCGGACTACGCCTCGATGGCGGCGTGCCGCGCGCTGGTCGCCTTCTTCATCTCGCCGGCCATGGCGATCGGCAGCGCGGTCGTGACGGAGATGTTCTTTCGCCACCAGCGCGCGCGCTACATGGGGATCTGGGCGGTGATGGTGACGCTGGGGGTGCCGATCGGGCCGTTCATCTTCGGGTTCGTGACGGAGCGCGTGGGATACCGCTGGATCTTCTGGATTTTGGCTATTGTAAGCGAGCCTTGCCTCCCCCCAACCTATCTCTCACTGACCGTTCCTCCAGACCAACGCCGTCGAATTCATCCTCTACCTCCCCTTCGGCCCCGAGACGCGCTACGTCGGCACCGACCTGCACTCGTCAACCACGTCCACTTTCAAACGCGAGTACCTCACCCTCTTCCACCGCATCGACCCGACCCCCTTCCGGGCGGCCGAGTTCTACCACCCGCTCACCCTGTTCACCAACCTCCGCGTCCTGATCGCGGCCGTCGCCTACGCCATGGTGTTCCTGTTCGGGTCGGTGATGAACTCCGTCGAGGTCCCGCAACTGCTGCAGGTGAAATTCGGGCTGAACGCGCAGCAGCTCGGCCTCCAGTTTCTGGGGTTGATCATTGGCTCCCTCCTGGGCGAGCAGCTGGGCGGCGTGCTGTCGGACACCTGGATGAACCTGCGCGCCAAACGCACGGGGGGCCACCCGCCGGCGCCGGAGTACCGGCTCTGGCTGAGTTACGTGGGGTACCTGGTGACGATGGCGGGGATGGTGGTGTTCCTGGTGTGTACCGCGCAGGCGGAGCAGGGGAAATGGACGGTCGTGCCGGTGGTGGGCACGGCGATCGCCGCGTTTGGGAATCAGGTCGTCACCACGGTCATGATTACTTACGCCGTCGATACGTACCCGGCTGATGCGGGGAGCGTGGGCGTGTTCATCAATTTTGTGCGGTCGACGTGGGGGTTCATCGGGCCGTTTTGGTTTACGGATTTGTTTGAGAGTGTCGGGGTCGCGGAAAGTTCCGGGGTGGTGGTGGCGTTGATTGTCGGGGTCAGTGTTCTGCCTACGGTTTGGGTGCATTGGCGGGGTGGGAGGTATCGGCGGGATTAAGTGGTTTATACAGGATTAAATTGGGGAAGGGGGTTGCATGGTAGGGAGGATGTCTTGGGTAGAGTTGGGTTTGTATATAGATGTGCTCGTTTGTAATCCAGCTACGGTTTGACTTGACTTGAGCCTTACTTTAACTCTGAGTTAATATGCTGGATGAAGTAGGTATTCAGCCACTGTCAATAGTAGCTGCTACTCACGCATCGTATGCTCCTTCAGATTCCTCAGCTTCCCTGCTAGATCTCTCCTTTCTCCAACCTGATAGAGCTACGATCGTCCGTATAAAACCCATTCAAACAAGAGCAACCTAAACAATCAAGAGACCCCGCTTCCGCTCTCCAAACTAAGCCTGAAACCTCCTAACCTCGAAGAACCCCTTCCAGCTTCAAAATCACCCCCCCTCCCCCTCTCAACCATGCACACTTGAATGATCAACAACTAGCCCCACTCGGCACATTCGTACACTTGGAACTCGTCTTCCCCCCACTGACACTCACATCCGTCCACGTCCAATCCGAACAACTGCCCGACCCGCACGAGATGAGGATGTTGGTCCCCGAGCTGACCACCGAGCCGTGCACGTTGTCCAGCACAAAGTCCGTGATCGGCACCCCCGTCGTGGGCGTCGATGACGTGTCGCCGTAGTTCTGCTGCACCACGATCCCGTACTTGGCGATGGAGGTGAGCGTGATGTCCTTGTAGGTGACGTCGGACACGGAGCCGGTGGTGTCGATGTTGGTTTTGATGCGGACGCCTTTTTGTCCCTCTTAGTCTTAGGTTTGGGGGCGGGGTTGGTGGTATTGGGGTTGAGTACGGGGTGGAGAAGGGGGGGAGGGGGGAAGGGGAAGGGGACTGCAGGGCTGAGGGATCGGGGCCGGTGGTGAGGTGAAGGGAAAGAGGCTGGGGCTCAGGTAAACGCACCATTATCCGAGTTAATGATCGTCGAATCCACAAACGTCACGTTCTTAACCGTATTATCACTGCGTCCGCCCACCGAACCAATGGACAAGCCGTGTCCACCGGAGCAGTAGCCGCCCGAGAAGTAGATATTCTGCGTGGTGCTGTTAGCCACCACCCCACTCCCCCCCCCCCCCCCCAAACCCAATCGCTTAGGGGTGAACTCACCTCCCCCGAATTCACAGCCACGCAATCATCCTGATTATACACCGTGGCGCCCGAGATCGTGACATACGTGCTCGTGCCGATATCAAACGCATCGGTATTATGCCCGCCATTGTCGTCGCCGTCCGAGTTGTCGATCGTGATATCCTTGAGGGTCAGATAATCCGACCCCGCAACGCTGAAAACCTGCACCGGCGAGTTGACGATCTTCAGCCCGCTAATCACCGAGTTGGTCAGGCTGTGCGCCGCGAAGAACTTGGGCTTCGTCTTGCCCCCGTTCCCGCCCTCGCCGTCCCACCACCGGCTGCCGTCCCCGTTGATGCTGTGCCCGCTCGCCCCGGTGATGGTCAGGTCGCTCCCGGAGACGGAGATCAGGGGGCCGCTCCATTCCTTGTAGCCGAAGGTGGTTTCGCCTGAGAAGATCACCTATCCGTTTATCGTTAAAAGGATGGTCAAAAGGTGAGGTGTGGAGTGGAGGGAAGGGGAGCGGGGGCAATGGCTTGGAGTAAGGAGAGGCTACATGAGTCCCGTCGTTCAGCTTGGTCAGGTCCAGCGTCGTCCCCGACGGAACGGCCACATTCGACAACACAATGGTCGAGCACGAGGTCTTGGACTTGCTGGCTGACGAGGCGCCGTTCGATCCGGAGAACGTGCAGGTCGTCGCGCGCTTCGCGATCTCCTCGGCCGTGGGCGGGGCCGTGATGGCTGGTGGGGCTGGGCTGGCGAGGACGCTCGCGGCCCCGAGGGCGAGCGAGACGAGTAGAGTGGTGTTAAGGTGCATTGTTGGATTTGGGCCAAGAGGGTTCAAGCTTCGGGTTGTCTTGGTGGTCTTGGTGGTCTTGGTGGTCTTGGTGATCTTGGTGGTGGTTGTTCGAGGGCGCGGGTGGGTATTTATGCCTCTAGCAGCGTTCAAAATTTGATGCACAGGAGATGTGATGGTGTAGGACAATCATGCAGGGTCTACCACCCCCGCGTCGCGATTAATGGTAAGTGGTGGAATAACCATTTTTGCTGGGTGGATTGGGGTTGTTTCAACCCCGTGTCGAGGACGAAGTATAGCATGCTGGGAACAGGAGCCTGCCATGGAATCCAGTGGTTCTCAGCTCGGGCTGAGTTGCCGCCAGGGCAATCCGGGGAAGTCGCCGACGGAATGATATTCTCCAGGGGCTGGTGGCTTGGTTCGCTCTTCCAGTGCGAAACGACTAACCTCCATCCCAGACGGAGGACGGCCCGTGTGAGGGCGCGAACACCTTATAGTCCAGCTCGCTTAGACGGGGGTTCTGCGTAAAGAGGGGGCATACAGCGACCCTGGTTCATAGTTTGCGGAGGTATAGGGGGAGGAACGGCACTAATTGGCGGAATCACTCGCGGGCGGCGGACATTTCAGGGCTGATGACGATGTTTATTTTTCTCTTGGCTTCACGGCTGGGACTCGTCTTGGCACGGTGGTCTTGGCGGAGGAGCCCCTGAAGATATCAGGCTATTCCACAGTCATCAGATGGATGTTGATCCATGGTTCAGTTCGAGTTGACGAAATAGCCTTAGATAGGTGATGTGCCTCTCCAATCAAAAGAAATGTGCTAGCTCAAAGTATGCCTAATTGTATGCAGTTCATGATGGCTGGCCAAAAAAAGAAAGGTCGTGCCCGGGTTCGAACCGGGGTTATTGGAATGTTTCCGAGCCCGAAGGCAAGCGAGGTCAAAATCCAAAGTGATAACCACTACACTACACAACCTGTAGTCGGTGCTGCTGCTCGCTTTAATAGGACATGTAATCAAAGACTTGTTTTGCATCATGTTTGGGAAGCTCTTTGAGGCACTCGTCAGTCTAACTTAGTAGGTACTGTGTCCTATGACAATTGCTCTCGCTTGATTTTATCTCGAAAACAACTGAAGCATCATGCTCAGTCTTCGCTCTATGATACCGCAATACTCGAGAATGTATTTCCGCGGCAGCGAGTCAGTTGGATTCCCTGCCGAGACCTGTCCGGCAACACACCCTCCCATCCCAACCGGAGGAAATGCTGCAACACAAGCCCTCTACACAAAGAGCTTGAACCCTCCCGGCACACCCGTCTGAAACAATCCCTCGGGATCATACTTCCGACTCGTCCGCCGCAGCGCCGCCACACTCTCCTCCCCATACCCCCAAATGACATCCTGGGCTGCATCGGCGTAGTTCATATACTTGAACGGTCGATACACCCCGGCATCTTTGGTGAGTCCCTCAATCGCCTCGGTGAGCGACTTAGCCGTCCCGTGAACCAGCTCTGCATCACTCGGATCCGGGAAGAAAGCCACCAGCAGAAAAATGACCAGTCGATTGTCGGCGGGATCCAGACCCAAGCTGTTGCGGGCGTGCAGGGCGGGGGTGGGCTGGAAGCTGATGTACCAGTTCATGTTCTTGACCCCCGAGATTGAGGCCACGGATCTGTTGTACAGGTCGAAGATGGCCGAGTACACGGCAGGATCGTGGGCGAAAGTGGTGGTGTAATACATTGTGCTATTGGAAGTGTCAGCATCACACAGAAATTCGGATCGAGGTTGTGAATGACAGGACAGACCTAAATCCAGAAACCTGGTAGCTATCCTCCTCGACGGCGAAGTCAGACATGTTTGTCACTCGCAAGGTGTTATACAGCACCGTGCTGTTGTTGATCAGGTTTTGATAGACGGCGGGGTACGGGCGTGGCTGGGCGTATAGCATGATGAGGGTCGCATGGATGGCCGCATGCTTGCTCGTCCACCCGTACGACTCGATCAAGCCCGCGTGGGGGTCCAGGCCTGCCGGCTCCATGAAGTCCGAGTACGCGGCCAGGAGGCGCGGCGCCTCCGTCCCGGGGTATGCGGTGAAGCCCGCCCAGTGCTTGCCGAGCGGGTGCGTCCGCATGGTGAACCGGGTCACCACGCCGAAGTTGTTCGACCCGCCTTTCAGGGCCACGAAGAGGTCCGGATGTCTGTCGCCGGAGACGCGCAGGATCTCCCCGCTGGCCACGACGATCTCGTACTCCAGCACGTCGTCACAGCCCCATCCGGTCGTCACGCTGGGGACCCCGGTGCCACCGCCCGTCAGGAAGCCTCCGGCCCCGATGGCCGCATCGCGTCCCCCCGTGACGGTGATGTTGAGCGGATCCAGGACCTGGTAGACCTGGAGCCAGCGGGCTCCTGCTCCGATCTGCACGGTCGCACGGTCGGAACTCACCTCGACGGTGCTCATGCTGCGGAGGTCGACGGTGACGCCGTCCTGAATGTTGGCTGCACCGGCAAACAAGCCGTGTCCGCCGCTGCGGATGGCGAACTGCTCCCCCCGCTCGCGGTGCGCGACAGCCATGGTCTCAACAATGATCGAGACATCTTGGGCGGAGGTGGGTCGGACCACGCACGCAGGATGGACGTTTTGTTCTTGGTAACTGAAGAAAGAACCGATGGACTCGTTGTAGCCGGGACTGTGGGTGGGAGACACCAGTCCTTGAAGTTGGGAACTGAGGAGGGTGCAGGCCGTTGGATTGGTAGCTGGCTGCTGGTTGTAAAACCTTGCAGCCGCCCACAGCCCAACAGCACCGGCTGCATACAAAACAACTGAAGCCATTTGGGGGCGATTGGGCACACAAGAAAAATAATTTAGGTAGGCAGAAAGGTAAGCTGGAGACGGAGGGAATAGTAAGACTTGGTAACTTAGATGTACCTAGTAGAGCGCAGGATTCAAGCATCAGGAAATGAATCGTAAGCCCTAACCGCCGATCATCACGTTTCTTTGTTTTGTGCATCCAACCAAAGCCGGCCACCCATGCAACCACAAAAGTACGGATTCACTAGTTCAGCCAGAGAGAGAAAGCAAACATGGCACGATCACTTCCGATTTATCCGACGGATTACAAGGGTGAGATCCTCTCCCTCCAGGGGTCCTACGATGCCTGGGCTGGGGCGGGACCAGTCCGCACGAGGAAACCGTCCGCGGTCGGGGTGGTCCGGCCGTATCTTGTGTCAGCGTCTTTTCTAGGTCTAGGTTCAACACTAAACACACGGCACCAGGACTTACAAGGACGCGCTCCCGGCTCGTACCGTCTTTCCGCCGATCGCACTTGTCACCGCAATGTCGCGCACCATGGGACTGGCCATTCTTAGACGTAGCACCTCCGAGAAGAGCGAATCCAGGTGGGGACAATGCTCGACGAGATATCGATGATCGACCTGGTCGCCTGTCAAGGCAGGTTGGATCTCAACCCGGATCGCGTCCAGAATGCTTAGGTCGTACAGGATGTGCGCAACGAGCCAGAAGGCAGTTTTGAACATGTTTCCCAGAATCCTGTTTTCGTTTGTGGTTAGGGAATCTGAAGTGGCAATCCCAGCGGCACAGAGCTACTCACGCCCAGGTCTGTAGCATAAACATGCAGCCAATCTCATGGTCGTCGAGCTTGTCCTGGCGGAGGACCCCTTCCACCGCCTGAACCCACCAATTGCCCTGCTCTCGCTGCTCTTGCGGTAGGATGAAGTACTTTGCGAAGGTGCCCACCAGATGCCGTCGGGCAGTTTGCATGTCCCGGCCGAGGAACGCCGGCAAGCCGAAGATGAACTTCCAGTTCACCCTTTCCCACACCATATACCATCTCACAACGTTCGGCTCAATCTCCCAGAGAACAGATTCATAGTACGCTTCTGCTATGCCTTTCACAAAAATTTCAACGCACACGCTGTGAAGAGATACAGCTCGGACGGACGCAGGTGCTGGTATCGCCCTAGGAGCAAGTGCTTTGAGGGTGCAAGGTGCTATTCCGTCGGCGACGAGGTCATCAAGACTTTTGCCGGGTGAGAGATGTTGACGGTATAAAGCCATCATAGTATCCGTGCTGTGCATCCACCGGGCGCTATTGACATTGTACGAGGCCTTGGGATCGACGTCAAAAATGCGGTCCACTACTCGGCGAGAAATACCGGCTCTGTGATAGAGTTCCTTGCTCATCAGGTCACGATTGAAGCTCACGGTGTCTTTGTAGAGTTCAGAAATATGCTTCGGACTCGAAACGATGCATACTTGTTGGCCGCCGACAACCATGGAGAACGGTTCTTTCGTGTCGTTGTAGTATTTTCTGGGATGGTCAGACTTGGCATTTTCATGAGCTACGGATGTTGAAGTACGCACGTTGCGTCTGCAATTGCTCCATTGAAGTCCTGGAAGAATGAGCCGGCATGACCTGTAGGAAGATCAATACTGCTGGAATCAATTCGAGTTTTGGGAGAAAGGCCTATCCCAATCTTTCCAGATAAATGATAGTATGGATTCGGAAATTCTGAATTGCAGTGAGAAGACTTACATGCATCGTCCCCCATCCTCGGTGGAGGAAGTATCGACTATTGTGAAAATTCTGTCGGCATCAGCAAACTCTACCTTCTCAATCCGCTCTGGGGGCCATTCGCCTAATTCGGGAGCTGCCAATGCTAAATGGGGCGTGACAATCGACCTCCGGGGCCTGAACAGTATTGATATAAACAGTGATATATACAACTTGCAGGTTGGAACCGGGTTGACTTGGAATGAAGTATACCAAGCAGTTGATGGATATGATCGGGTGGTGATAGGAGGTCGGACTGGGTCTGTGGGTGTGGGTGGTCTCATCACCGGCGGTAAGGCCTCTTTCTCCAGAATTCGTGATTGTGTGTAAACGTGCCTCTGAAGCCGAACAGGAGGCATATCAGCGTTCTCCCCGGTGTATGGATTTGCCCGCGACAACGTGCTCAACATGGAAGTCGTTCTTGCCTCCGGCGAGAGCGTAAACGCCAACGCGAGCCACCATGCGGATCTCTTCGCTGCGCTCAAGGGTGGCCAGAACAACTTCGGGATCGTCACCCGCTCCGACCTGCGGTCTTTCCCCCAAGGCCCATAATGGGGCGGCGGAATACAGTACGATATCTCCACCGTCGAGGAGCAATTGGCGGCGTTCACGGCCTTCAAGAACCCCGCCAATTTCGACCCCTTCGCCGAGATCAAACAGAGCTATCTGTACTACGGTGCCGAGGATCAGGGATCCGTCTCCAACATTATGTACTATTCGAATGCATCAGCTGCCATGGCCTCTTTGCAGCGGTTTACGGACATCAAGCCACAGGCGCTGAACACGATGCGCATTTCCAATAGCACGGATTTCAGTGCAGAGCTTACACGCTACCAGCCTATGGACCAATAGTAAGTTTCCCCCCTTGATCTCTCTTTTCTCTTGTTGTTTGTTCTTGTTTTGCTTTTTGTTCATCTCTCGTCGAGTGTTGTTCTTCGCTGAGAGCCGGCGCGCAGTGCCGTTCACGCAACGGCAACCTTTCGGGTCTCGCCCACCATCCTCAAGAAGGTGTACGACGCGTGGAACGCGACCAACTTGAGCATTGCGGGGGATGTTCTGAACCTGACCAGCGTGCTCGTCTATCAGTCCATCCCTGCGTTGCAGCCGGCATCGGCATCGCCAAACAGCCTCGGGATTCCGCCGGACAGCCATCCGGAACGGAATCAGGTTCTCTGCCTCGTGTCCCTCTATTGGCCACTGGAGAAAGACTCTCAGCTTGTCCAGCAAGCGACCCAGTCCATTATCAGGGCAGTGGATGCGCTGACCGCGGAGGAGGGTGTTCAAGTGCCATACCGGTACTTGAATTACGCGGCCTCCTGGCAAAGCCCGATCGGCAGTTACGGTCCGGCCAGCGTGGAAGTGTTGTAACGCGTTGCTTCAGCATACGATCCCAGGGGTGTCTTTCGGCGTAATGTGCCAGGAGGCCTTAAGCTTTTTGACTAGTAGCTGCGATTTGATGTAGATTTGTATATGAAAAGTAACCAGATGCGCGAGTTCTGCGTGGCTTCTATTTGTACGCTATCGCAACAGCATCATAGACGCTCGGCAGGTTTTGGTGTACACTGCCTGTCGTGGTGCCATGACTTCACCGAGTGGCTAGTCGATAGTGTTAACAAAATCCCATGTTCTCTCACCCCGACCGGCCTAAGGAAATCTACCTCGCGCAACCACGCCCTACACACGAAATTCCCACAAATGCTCCTTCAACCTCATGTCAAACCCCTCTAACCTCTTCTCGAACTCATCCGCACCACCCCCCAACATCTCCTTCCCAACATTATCCCTCACGAACCTTGCAAAATGCCCCCTCGCCCGTCTCTCCACCTCCAAATCCCTCCTTCGCGCCCCTAACCCCGAAAGACCAACCAGAAAATCCAAATCCGACGTCTCCGTCGCATCATACGGCACCGGATATCCCCACGGCTTCGCCTCGCGATCATCCACATACCGCGTAAACGGGACCAGAACCTCGCGATACCCATACTGGCCGCCCGTAGGATCAAGCACCCATTCCTCACCGGAGAGGCGCATCGTCACCACCAACACGGTATGCGGACACCCCGTCGGGTCAGGGCCCGGGACGAGTCTCGTCGGACGAGGTTTTTTTCCGATCTGCAGGTCCATGAATTCGATTCGCGTGTCCATCCCTATCCCCCCATGTCAGTACACATGACCCAGGTCATCAGTGCGGGATCACGGGAGGAGTACATACCAGCCAAAAGGCCCCTTATCAACCCACTCAACAGCGCCATCGCGGCAGTACACTGGTTCACGCACAGCGCCGCCTCTCTTTCCTCGGGCTTCGTGGTAAGATGTTCCGGGAAGTGTACGCGGGTCCCGGGGTCTCTGGCCTCCTGGTGCAGGTAGAGCGTCCCGTCGCGGAGGTCGATCTTCGTGAGGGCGATGTCGTACAGTGTCGTGCGGTAGGTGAGCAATGCTGTTTTGAGGACGCGGGCGGCGCGGTGGAGCTTAGTTCGCTGCGCCATCACTCTGCAGACGCGTTTGTGGACGGGCCAGTGGCGCTTTTGGCAGGCGCGGGTGCAGTACGCGGCGCTGATGGTGTGGCCTGGTAGGTAGGCCGGGGGGTTGAGGCAGCCGGCGCAGTGGAGGGTGGCGTTTAAGCCGCAGGCTGCGCAGATGGTGGGGGTTGAGGTTGGCATTTTGATGGTTGTGGGGTTGCTGGTGGGTTGTGGTGATGTGTTTGGTGAAGGTGGTGATGGGTTCGATGGTAGTGGGGTAGAGATACAAGGTGGTGGGATGTAGGAGAGGAGGTGTGGTTTCCTCAGTAGATGTGTTTGTGGGCTCAGGCTACTTGTATGGTAGTCGCCAGTGTATGGTCTGGCTGTGAGTTTGGCAACGCGTTTGCTTCATTCACCGTGGGTGGGAGGGCATTAGTAGTGTTGAGCTGCTACATCTGTCTTACAAGATACAGTATGTAAAGTAAAGGTCCACATTATGTACTTACTACTGTGCTATTAAAACTTATTAGTTACATTTTTGTAAGTAGAAGCAATATACTTTAAGATAACATGTGTATATTCACACAACTTCATATTAGCAACGTAGATGTAGCATTATGAAGCGGGCCTTAGGCTACAAGAGTCCCAGCTATTGCAGCCTCGCTACCATGTCTTCCGAATCCCTCATCTCATGTTTCACTACTCGGAACTTCCCGCACAAGTCTGACAGTCCCATTAATCGGATCAGTCCATACCTCGTCTCCCACTTGGATCGGATTATCTGGATCTTCAGCGATGACGAGGTGGAGATCGCCATCCTCATCTTCAAGGGTTCTCAGACTCACTGGCTCCCACTCCTCTGCCTGATCACCCGCCGTGCTGTTGTCAGCAGGCATTACATCTTTATCGGATTGCTCCCCTCTGCGCCCGAGAACAAAGTTTCCACCTCGAAGATGGAATTAACCCGCGTCGTTCGTGCAGGTCGGCCTCTGCCCGCAAAAATATCTAGGGTCCATACTCGTCAGTTGCCGGCCTGATCACCAAGGAAATGAGGACTTACGCTCCCCCGTAGTTACGCAAGGTGACCCCATATCTCTGACCGTTCCGGATTCCGCTGTTGCGGTAGAACGCGGAAAGCTGACCTCCCTGGCGTGGGGATCAGAGAGGCAAGTCAGTTCGCTGCTCCAGTCACGGGTTCAGTCATGGACTCAGGATACTCATTCACATACTGTCGTTCTGGCTTTTGGGAACACAGCGCAAATTGGCTCCTGCTCCGTCCTGCCTGACACTGGCGAAGGGATACTCGTCGCATGAGTTTCCAAACCTGCGGTAGGGAAGGTTGTTGTTATTGCAGGGGTTCCTGCTGCAGCCCGACGCCCTGCGACGGGGGGCCTGGTTGGCCCTGTTGGAATCATAGGTCAACGTTCGCGTCACGCGATTGCATAGGACTGCCTAGTAAGCGTTCTGGTAGGTTCCGATGCTGTTGGCATAGTTCTGCGAATAGTTGATCTGCGCTGCCACCTCCACCACCACCAGAACGAAGAGCAGGGAGAAAGCCGAGGGGAGTTTCATGTTGGGGGTTCTGTTGTGATCCCGATCTTTGGCGGTAGAATCGGCATATTATGCTCGTTTCTTTTAACGCAAACCACCGCGCCCTTTATATTCATTTCTTAGTTCATGGCAGGCCACCCTCCTGGGTACATCTCTTGGCCTTGTGCTTGTCGGGAGGTACAAAGCTCAGCTGACGGCGCGTTCGGATCTCCATCATGAGTGTTTGTCCTATCATTCATTTCGAACCAGGCTGTACTCCCCGCTTGTATCATTAGCACTGCACGCTTTTGAAGATACTCTGCCAGTCTTTGTGGGAGGTAAAGTTGACTGTGGGTCGATGTCTTCTTTGATGTTTGTTGGCCATAGTCTCCCCATGGCATAGGATTCTGGAAGACCTGTGGTGTCAGGGTCACCGCTGACTGCAACTACACAACTCAAGGCCTCATATATCATCTGACAGACCCTTGGCCATTAGCGGGAATGTTAGACGATACTGGTCATCTGTATGACCCCCACTTAGAGCTTGAGGATCAAATGGCGCAACATGCGGTTGGCGGGGATGGTGTTGTCTTGGCGTCTAGGGATAGGCACTATAGGATGTTATCTACCATTGAGGACGAGAATGCAGGTGAGTGCAAAGCCGTGGGTGGATTTCGCTGTGAAAGCATGTAGTCCCATTAATCGTAATCGCCGAATTCAGTTTCCATCGGGTCCACAGCCGGAAGTCCGCATCGCCTAGATTAGAACTCAGGTGGTGGCCTTTTGGGAAAGCGCTGTCACACATCCCGCAGTGAATAGGTAGGTAGCCTTCATTTCGTAAAATCTCGAGTCCTCGTTGGTGCCTGATTCTAGGCATCGATATCATGGCATGGGTGGTTTGGGACGGTGTAACTCACGTGTCCGACCGGGATATGAAGCGACAGCTCGGAAACAGTCTTGCGACTCTCAACCCACCTCCGAACAAGCTGACAACAACCGTCATCTTCTCCATTCCTCCACCCATCTACCCTTCACGAGGACATCCACCATGAGCGGAGATCTCGTCGCGATTATCTGCACCGCGGAAATACCAATCCCGGTCCGTCATACCATCTCCTTTCCTCCAACCGACTTCACCCACGCACACAAAGCTGATTAAGCTGGATTGTACTTCACATCGCAGACCCTCAACGCGATGCTTACCGCATCGAAGAACCACAACACCGAAACGCCGCCCTCCATCATCGTTCTCGACACCGACCAGCGCGACCGCCTTCTCCAGCTCGACTGCGATTCCGCTACCTCAGACGGGCACGTGGTCGATGAATTCATCTCCCCGTTTGTGGGGATGGCCCTCCCCGAAGTGGTCCGCTTCGTTACCGAGACCGCCCGCGACACCGTCGTCAACCCGTACTCGGTCTTCATCGCGGATGAGCGCACGGCCGCGGACCAGACCGTCCTCGTGGTGGGCATCCACGACGATACGCGCGAGGTCGAGGCCACGGTGCGGATGGTCCCCGAGCTCCTCGACCTGCTCGCTGCGAATCTGGTCATCGCGAACACGGATATCGCGGAGATGAGATCGAACGCGGAGGAGACGGGCGGGGTGTACAGCCATTAGCGGCTGGAGAGGGGTCAGGATGGTCTCGGGCTGATGCATGAAATGATGATGGCTTTTGTGGGGATGAAGCACCCAGTCTGGGGGATCAGGTTAATCAAATGACATATTGGCGAGTCGGTGGCGTTTGATGTAACCTTTGTTGGTTTCTCACCTAGTGGATCACTATTACCAAGCAGTCTTTGTATCTCTTGTGCAATGGTACTATGCGTTTGAAGGAGGGAGAAAGCATGGTGCCGGTGCGTGCAGGGCTCAATCAGCTTGGTCACATCAGCAGCGGGCCCGCACAAACGAGGAAGCGACTTTTGCACTCTCTGGTTGTAGTAGGTACATATACAGGATCCCACCGGTTTATGATTCAGTGGTGACATGTTGAGCTAATTTTCTTAATTGAACTCTACATTTAATGAATCATGTGCTATGCCCAGGCTAAGTCAGCTTTTATTAAGACTCAGCAGCAGGAGTCAAGCTCAAGCCAAGTAAGCTCGAGGCTCTGATTGATAGATATTCTCAGAGTCAGTCACTAGTTGGAACTATAGGATTTACTGATCACAATCTACCAATTTGCGTCGCCGGTGGATGGTTCGGTGCGCGGGGACTTTATCTGACGGGAATCGAGCCAGGGCCGACGAGTGGGGCCTTCGGCGCATTTCTAGGGCAAGTCCCCCACGTGACAGCATCGAGAGTCGAAATTGAGATCAGTAAACCGCCGAAGCACTCTCTCCATGATGATAATTTATAGTTACCATATCTGGAACAGATGCAGATAACACTGGACGTTATTTGGCTTAGGGCTTGGGAGTTTGCGTGAGTGCGAGAGCTCTCTCAGTTGCGCCATGTATGTCCTTCTCCTGTTCGGGGCGCTCGCCTCCATTCTTGCTTCGATGTTCCTCTCCGGAACCGCCAGCGTAAACAATCTGGTGAACTGGCAGTCACCCATCGTGAACAAACTCGGCTGGCTGGGAAGCTCCAAGCCCCTCCCATCGACCTCCGTGCCCGCTAACTGGAACGGCTTCGGCTACCTCTTCAACATCACCGTCGGCACCCCGCCGCAGAGCCTGACCGTACTGAGCGACTGGGCCTGGGTGACGCTGTTCGCGCGCAGCGCCCGCTGCGAGGGGCGCTACGACCCAGCCCACTGCGTCGCCGCGGGCCAGAGCTACTTCGACGAGCGCGCCTCGACGAGCTACAGCAACCAAACCACCCTCCCGCGCCTCCGGTGGGACACGAGCCTCTACTCGCCCGACTTCACCGTCAACTACGCCACCGACACAGTCTGCATCAACCACCCGGACAACACCTCTCACATCTGCACCACCCCCTCCACCACAATCCAAGTGTCCGACTTCCCCTTCGCAGGCCACTACGTGCCCCCCGTCCCGTTCGGGGGCATCTTCGGCCTCGCGCCGGTCATCCCCGGCCTGAACGCGACCTACCACCCGACGCACTACCAAGCCTGGAAACAGGGCCGCGCGGGCGCGCAGATCGGATTCAACAGCTGCGCCAAGCTCTCGTCCAAGAGATTCTGCCACGGCGGCGACGCCAAGTTCGTCTTCGGGGGCACGGATCCTGCCCTTTATGATACCGACCAGGTGATCTGGTACCCGATCGTCACGCCGCCGTGGCTCGGCGACGAGATGTTCCTGCCCATCAAGCCCTCGATCTGGAACTTCTGGGCCACCCGCTGGACCGGGGGGTGGATCGTCGAGACCGAGCCCCGCCCCAATGGCGAGAAGAGGTGGTGGTCGTCGTCGTCGTCGTCGCCGACCAACTACGCCGTTCCGTTCCCTGCGACGGCCTTGAACAAAGACTTCCTGCCCGCGGACCACCGCGACCGGACCTTCCGGCGCGGGTCCCCGCGGTATAACTCTACGGCTACGGCCGGGGGGCAACCGGAACTGATCACCCCGCTCGCGGTGCTGGACGACGGCTCCGAGGGGCTGGGCGTCCCCGTGACGGCGCGCCAGTACACGGAGCTGGTGCGGCTGACCGGCGGCCGGAAGGCGGATGCGTCGACGCGCGCGGCGATTGCGGCGCAGTGGACGTCGAGCACGACGGGCATGGCCACGCAGGATTGGTATGTTATTGACTGCGCGACGGACGGGCGTCCGGAGCTTGTGTATGAGTTCGATCGCCGCGGGAATTACTCGGTCGGGGCCGAGGAGTACGTGCAGAAGATCTATGAGACTGGGGAGTGCTATCTCAATGCCCACGTGTGGGAGCATAGTCGTACGGAGAGCGGGGATGCGACGGTGATCTCGGTTGGGGATGGGATTCTGAAGGGGTTGTATGTCGTGTTGGACTTTGAGAGGAATGTGTTTGGATTGGCGCCGTTGAAGAGGGTATAACCTCTAGTTTCGGGGTTATGACAAAGGTTTGCAGGAAGAGTTTTTTGATTTGGAATCAATCTTGCTGTGTTGAAGATATAATTGTGGAGTGAGTGTGTACAGCTTGTAGGTTTGTAGTGACCCTTGGGTAAGGCTAGCCCTGTGGCATTTCTCTGTCTATGCGTATGCTCATTCACATGCCATATGACGGTTCTTCATCAGGTACTAAAAAAAGAAAGAAAGGGGGGCAAAGAGGAAAAAGAAAATAAAAAGGAAAAAAACTTTAATAGAAAGGGAAAACAAAATATGCAACCTCGAATAATGGAACGAGAATATACTTTGTATGCAAAAATAGGGACTCAAGAGCGAAGCCCTCCAATTTAAACTACCACACCGTACCAGTTCGGCTGTACCACCATAACATAATTCAGATTCATAAGTAAACAACATGACCCCCCTCTTGCAGAACATCCTATTCCTTCGTATACACGTACATCGGCACCCCCGACTTGGGCTTGGCCGTCGACGAGAAAACCTGGTACGCCTCGTCGCCGAACGCCTCGGTGCGCCCGCCGGCGGCCTCGACCTCGTCCGGGTGCCGCCGCCGGTACTCGGCGTAGGCGGACTCGAACCGGAACCGCCGCAGCGTCATGGCCAGCACGACCCGGATCTCGATCATGGCCATCTCGCTGCCGATGCACATGCGCGGCCCCTTCTCGAACGGCCGGTAGGCGTCCGCGGGCGGCGCGTGGCCGTTCCACCCCGCGGTCACGGCCTCGGTGCGCCCGTCGGCCAGCGTGATCGTCTTGGCCGTCATGAACCGCTCCGGGTGGAACTCGTCCGGGCAGGGGAAGAACTCGGCGTCGTGGTGGATCGTGTGGATCCCCACCCAGATCAGGCTGCCCTTGGGCACGGTCACGGCGGGCGCTTTGTCCGGGTGGAACGTTGTGCTGTCCTTTCAGTAAGCATTGCCGAATGTCTTTAGGGAGACATAAGGTGGGAAAGGGGGCGCGGGCTGGGGACTGACTCTTTCGGCGCCATGCGGAGACTGCCGGACGCCGGGTACAGGCGGAGGGTCTCACGGATTACGGCGGTCGTGTACGGGAGTTTGTTGATGATGGAGGGCTGGTCGCGGATGAGCTGGCCGATCGCTGCCGTGTCTTTGCCCAGGACTTGGTCGTGCTCTTCGATGACCTTGGCGAGCGCCTCGGGGTGCTTGCTCAGAAGGTGGTAGATGTTCTGGGGTGGATTAGCATCAACCGATCATTTTCGGACCCCGCGGACTCACGCTGAGGGTGGTACTGCTCGTGTCGTGACCGGCAAAGACAAAAGTTTTGAGACTACACGGAGTCAGTCAGTCGCTCGTTCAGAGGGGGCACCTGTACCCACTTATCCACGGCAAGCTGCTCAAAGCCACAGTCGAACAACGACCCGTTCGGCAGCTGCTCGTACCGCTCGATGGCGATGTCCATTAACGTGCGGAACTTCTTGTTCGCCCCGTTGGCGGCTCGGTCGCGCAGCACGCGTCGGATGTAGTTGTCCATCGTGTTCGCGTACTTGCGGCGCAGGTAGTGGGTCACCGGGTTGATATCGAGGGTCTGGCCGTTGGGGAGGAGGTCCAGGAGGTGGCGGAAGGCCTCGACCAGCTCGTCGCGACGGGTCAGTGACTTGAAGTCGACCCCCAGAACGACGATGCCGATGATATCGATGGTCAGCCGGGCGGCCATCGGCTCCATGGAGAAGAGCTCGTGCTTCGCGGCGTATTCGCTCAGCAGGTCGCAGAAGACCTCGGTCTTTTCGACCATCAGCGGCACCATGGTCATCAGGTGGGCGTTGGAGAAGCCCGGGGCAAACAGACTGCGCAACTCCTTCCATTTGGCGTCGTTGGCGGCCAGCACACTGTTGTAGCCGGTGAGCGGCTTGAGGAAGCGCGTGATCATCGGGTGTTTGGGGAACGGGCTGCTGTCCTGAGAGACCTGGTGGGCAAGTTTAGGGTTGGCCACCAGGTACATTTGGTCCATCAGAGGCCAGGTATCGACGGTGAACATGTCACCCAGTTTGTACAGTCGTTGCAGCATCGTCATCTGGGCCTGGGGGTGGAGATCCTTGGGGGCCTTGCTCTGCACATGCATAAATGCGGGAAGAGTGCCGAAGAGGAGATGATGGGGTGGACCAGGCTGATCAGTCAGTACGTATTCTTGCTGTGTCCGAGAAAGCGACAGTAACAAAGGCAGACTCACCAATCCCCTGACCCTCATTCTTTCGCGCACTAGAATCGTCAACCCGATCACGACCGCTCCCACAAGGAGCGGAAGTAATACATCCTTGGGATTTTCCACGCCGATGACGGCGGGAAGATCCACCAAGAGTGAAGACATTGAGTGTGTCTGCAACTGAGTTCGGTGAAGAATTTCCTAGAGCAATACCAGCTACAGTGCCAGTACTGCAACTCAGTCTCACGTTCGTGTTCGACCGAGTCTTTATGGCTGACTATGTATCTCTGGCGGATCCTCGCCGGTGGTCGCGTTCGGTGACTTTGTATTGGCCAATCGATCAGGCCACGCTGTCCTCGGCGATGGAGTAAGCGTAATAGCATGTCAGCAAGTGGTTGAAATGCTACCGTAGAAGGTTGCCAGTGTTGGCTTGGTAGTTGATTTGGTGCCGCGCAGTCGAGCGACCGTAGACATCTGGATGTCTGTGGAATGCCTCCCGGGGAGAAGGGCGATGGTGAATGTCTACGGCATCTGTACAGTACATCTATCAGGCGCGTGTTATATAGAAGACACAAGAGTAGTAAGTCTTAATGCTTAACGAGAGGCTTCTGTTGTTTGAAAAGAATCATGGATTTGAAACTCAATCTCAATATTGTTGTGCAGCATGCATGGCAGGCTGGGACTCCAGGACGGGCACTGGGCGCCGCCCACCGTATCAGGCTGCATAGTTGGTAGTTCACAGACTGCCGTATCCGCACCTATCTCGAGAGAGTAAACCATCTTCTTGAATTTGACTCTCGCATCTCTCCCACCTAATGTGAAGGCAACCATCAGAGCTCCGCGTAGCCCACGCCGCTTATTTCGTGGCTCAAATGGCTATTCCACACAAGAGACTGACACTTTCTACCGTTACATGCAAGCCACGTGGGACTTATACAGCTCGACAATATGATTCCGGCTGAGCAGACGAATTCCCCGTCGCAGCCCTTCCAGGCCACCACCTACGTATTCCATCGGGGATGATTCCCTGGATATGTCAGCTCAAATTTTTGGAACTAGATCACGAATGCTGATTGTTCTACCATTTGTCAGATGATCTACTAAATGTTGGTGGCGTTGTATGGCGATATTCTTGACTGTCAGATACAGCGCGTCAGGATTCGGCCAACAGGTTGCAGCCTGAGGTCATCGAAAACCGATCTAGCCTGGTCCATACTACCATGCAACCACGTTCCGATCGAGCGGATCAAATCCTTCAATAGCCTGATGACCCTTCAAATCGCATGGGCGACCCGATCGGTGACATTCGGCGACTTTGCGCTCCATCGCCCTCTCACACCGGAACTTGTATTGGTGCTCCCTGGGTGAAACCGTTGCTGCGAAACGCCACTGATCAAATACTATTCTCGCCTCCAGAGCCATTTCATCCCCAAGGCCTTAGTGAGTGATCCTCCGCGTCTGCTTGTGGACGGTGCTTTACATATTCGTTTTGCGGACAGTGGCGACAACAAGCCGCCGAGATCCTTCTGAGTAACTGGCCGAGTGGCAGTGACTCGGCGAGGCCTGTTCCTGTTCACAGAAGGGCTGTTTCAGTGCCCCCGACCAGTCTCTACATGGGTCGGTGGCAACCTGCTTAACCAGCAGTCAGTATACAAAGTATATTCCAATACCTCCTATCTGACATTCGGCTCCCACACAATACAGATACCGTGCAACATTCAACACGCTCGGTACTCTAGCCTTCTTTCTAGAGATCCCGTCATGATCATGACTGCCAACAACGATATGGCTGTTCCTGAGTCTGTGGTTGTGACCGAGGGCGCTTCATCCACCCCTGAACTCTGGCAGATGCTGGGGAGTCGGGACCAGCCCACCAACCTCACACCCCACGTCCGCATCACGGATGTTGGTCACAAGCAGCTACAAAGCTCTGCCAACCTTGTATCAGCCCGGGCATTACAGCAGCTCACAAAAAGCCTGCACGAGGGCATCTGCAGCACCGCCCTGGAGGATGACGGTCAGTCATCCAGTGCATATCACTCTACATATGCTTCGACACCAGGAAGCCTGTCGCCCAATCTGGAGGCTGTGCCATCAGAAGATGGTATACCAGATCTACAACCACAGTTCGAGGCCGTAGAGCGAGCTTCGTTCGCCCAGGAGAGAATCTGGTTTCTGCACGAGTACCTGACCGATCCCACAACGTTCAATGTCACCATGGCCTACGCCGTGCAAGGGCCACTGCAGCCCGTCGAGCTTGCAACTGCCTTCCGAGCCATGTCCAATCGACACGAATCCTTACGGACAGCGTTCTTCCTCGACTCGAGAGACGGAGAGCCCCACTTATTCCAGGGCATTCTGCCCGAAACACAGATCGAGATCAGCATCCATACCATCGAGAGTACCCAGTTCGTCGACGAAGTCTACGCATCGGTCAGAGATCATGTGTATGATCTCCCCCGTGGCAAAACAATGAAAGTGGCTATCCTGACCCTCACTCCAACCACGCACTTCCTGGTCCTTGGCTTTCATCATATCGCACTCGATGGCTTCAGCGCGCAAATCTTCATCAAAGACCTACAGTTGATTTACTCCACCGGACAAATCTTACCGCCCGCTCCACGATACCGGGACTACACACTTCTACAACGCCAGTCTCTGGCAAATGACACCTACCGCGAGAGTTTGGACTTTTGGAAGAGCAAGCTCGCCAATTTACCCCCACCGATCCCTCTCTTCGCCTTCTCCCGCGTCTCAGCCCGCAAACCACTGAACAGCTACCGCGTGCACAGTGTGGAGAGAACCATCGGGATCTCCCTCGCGTCGAAAATTAAAGAAACCGCACACAAGGTCGGAGGAACGACCTCATTCTTTCTATACCTCACTGCTCTCCGGGAGCTGGTCTTCCGCCTCCTGGGCCACGCACAACGTGACATCTGCCTCGGTATCTCCGACGCCGGACGGGCGGACAAGGAAGCTCTGCAGGTCGTAGGGATGTTTGTCAACATGCTGCCGCTGCAATTCCGGGCCGCTCGCCCTGGTCAGTCGTTCCGTGATCTGTTGTCCACCACCACGAGGCAGGTCCGCACGGCGTTGACGCATGCCGCCGTGCCGTATCAGGTGCTCTTGGATGAACTGGCCGTGCAGCGGTCACCCTCGGAAAATCCGTTGTTTCAGATCCTGCTGAACTATAAGATGGGATCGACAGAGGAGGCGACACTGGGACACTGCAGGGCGCAGAGCTTGCGTATGAATGATGCCAGAACAGGGCTAGATCTGGTGATAGAAGTGGAGGAATTCGTGGATGGGAATTGTCAGGTGGCTGTTAGGGGACAAGAGTATCTATATGGAAAGGAGAGTCTGGAGTTTATTCTGTCCTCGCTCGTGACGATTCTAGAGGAGGTCACGCTGCGGCCCAGTATGCCGGTTGCTAATCTCGCGATTTTCGATGAGAAGAGTATCACACATGCACTCAAGCTTAGCCGTGGTGAGCACGTCTTTACAGACGAGCACTTGCTGACAATGGTGCATTTGTTCGATCGGCACTGCAAGGCTCACCCTGGGGATGTGGCTGTCAAGCAAGCAGATGGTCAGTTCCTGTCCTATGGAGAACTGCAGGGTCGTGCTCAGGAGCTGGCAAGACGGCTACAGGAGCTTGAGGGGTCGACCGCGATTGTTGTCGCCTGCAAGCCGAGCCTGGACACCATTGTCTCGATTGTGGGCATTCATTATGCTGGCTGCACCTACGTGCCGGTCGACATTGAGCATCCGGAAGAGCGACTGCGAACTATTGTGGAAGACTGCAAGCCGCGAGCCATCCTCTACCACGCGGATACCAAGGATCTCGCGGTGGCCTTGGCAGGTGGCGCTATAACTGTTCCCACACCGCAGTCCGGGATGGACAAGGCCTTTCCGGTCAAAGCCAGTGTCAACGACACCGCGTATATATTGTATACCAGCGGATCCACCGGAAAGCCCAAGGGAGTCATTGTCAGCCATGGCAACTTGACATGTCAGATATTGTCGATGCGACGAACTGCAACTCTGGGGAAGGAGACAGTGCTTCACCAGAGTGGCGTTGCGTTCGATGCCTCGATCGACTGCGTCTATGCTGCGCTAGCTGGGCAGGGGACGTTAGTGATGGCTCCTCCGGAGGTGAGACGCGATCCGGTGCAGCTAGCCAGTTTGATGGCCCGGGAGCAGATTACCTACACGCAAATGACCTCGTCCGAGTACCACAATCTCGTGGTGTATGGTGCAGAGCATCTGAAGCAATGCATCGCCTACCGCAACGCGTTCTGTGGCGGAGAGAAGTTTCTGTCTAGTTTGATTCCTCTTTTCCGAGGATTGGAGCTACCCGCACTCAGAGTGTGGAACCGATACGGTCCGACCGAGATCACTGTGTCGTCGAGCATGCAGATGATTGTCGGGGCGGGTGTGATGAATAGTAGCACAGAGTTGATCCCGTGTGGTCGTCCGTTGACGAACTACTCCGTTTTCATTCTTGATGAACAGCGCCGACCGGTACCTGCAGGTGTGCCCGGGGAGATCTGTATTGGTGGAGGGGGAGTGGCACAAGGGTACCTGAACAATGCCCGCCTCACGGCTAGCAAATTCGTCAAAAACATCTATGCTAGTGAGGATGACGTGCGGCGTGGCTGGGACAGGCTATATCGGACGGGCGATCGAGGCTATTTGCTGTCTGATGGGTCACTGGCGTTTCTGGGCCGAATGGAGGGGTCCGCGCAGGTGAAGATCAGGGGACAGCGAGTGGAGCTGGATGAGATTGAGACGGCTATTGTGGCCACGTCTGAGGGGAGGGTCTTGTCGGCAGGGGTCTGCGTCAAGGGCGACAATGCGGATGCGGTGCTGGCAGCGTACGTCGTGGTGCGTCCTGATGTGCAAGTTGACTCACTTTCGTCGCTGGTAGCGAGTCTGGCTCGGTCGCTCCCTCTTCCCCGGTACATGCGGCCTTCGTCATTCGTGGCCGTAGGCAGGTTGCCTCACAACACGTCAGGGAAGCTAGATCGGCAGGCTCTGAGCAAGTTGTCCGGGACGCCGATTGCTATCGAAACGAACAATCACCCTGCTCCGCTGGGAGTGGAGGAGGAGGTTATGGCCAAGGCGTGGCGCGAGGTTCTTCCCGGCGAAGCAGTCTTGTCAGCCGAGTCCAATTTCTTCGACGTTGGGGGGAATTCGCTGCTTCTGGTGCGGTTGCAAAAGGTGATTGAGGAGCTGACGGGGAAGAGTGTGGCATTGACGGAGCTGTTTTCGACTCCCGGGCTGTCGGCAATGGCCCGTCTTCTGCAGCCTCAGAAAGCCACCAAGGAACCCACTGAGGTTGATTGGGAGAGTGAGACCCAGCTGACGCCTTCCTTGCTCGGTGCTATCCAGACATCTTCCAGGTGCAGCCCTAGTTCGGAAGTCGAGGTGATATTGACTGGAGCAACGGGTTTCCTCGGTCGGACCCTGCTGCAGCAGCTCCTCGCCCATCCGAGGATCGCACATGTTCATTGCCTGGCCATCCGCAACAGCAGCGTGACCCGGGGCTCTCTTACAAGTGATCCCGATCATGCTGCCAAGCTTACGCTCTATCACGGTGACCTTTCCCATCCCACTCTGTCCTTGGATGAGGAGACCATCTCCAGTCTCTCGAACAGGATAGGGTTGGTCATTCACAATGGCGCCTCCGTCTCCTTCTTGAAGTCGTATTCCACTCTGCGGGCACCCAACTTCCACTCCACTCGCTTCCTACTCCAGCTGTCGATCGAACGGGGCATCCCATTCCACTTCGTCTCGACAGGCGGTGTGGTCAACCTGACCGGTCAACCAACCTGCCCCCCTGTTTCGGTACGAAACTATCCGCCTCCGGGAGAACAGGGGTATATCGCGAGCAAATGGGCCAGCGAACGTCTCATCGAGAACGCCGCTGAGGCTTTGCACTTGCGTGGGGTGCACTTACCGGTGGTGGTGCATCGGCCCGCGAGCATCGTCGCCCGACAGCCTGGTACGCCCGGGACGTCGGAGACAGAACCGCCAGCCATGGATATCATGCACAATATGGTGCAGTACGCCCGAAGAATGCGATGCTTCCCGACGACGGAGGGGGTGAATTGGCGGTTTGACTTTGTGGGGGTGGATGCTGTTGCTTCGGGGATACTTGCTTCCGCTTTGGAGGACAAGGATAGGGGTGAAGGGGTGAAGTATGTGCATCATTGTAACGAGCGAAAGCTGTCTCCCAGAGAATTAAAGGAGGAGTTAGAAAAGGAGGCTGGGTGTGTGTTCGAGGAGGTGGAGGTGGGAGAGTGGGTGCGACGAGCCAAGGAATGTGGCATGGATGGGCTGGTAGCGGCCACGTTGGTGGATCTGATGGAGCGGCAGAGGGGGGTGATGTTTACGGAGATGGGTCTATAGATTGCTGATAGCCGATTGTTGGCTTGTTGTACTGTTCAAGTTATACTCCTAATTGTGGTTCAAACTATTAATCTCATTTGATCCGCATGTTCGGCTCATGCACGTACAGATATACCCTTCCGCCAGTGTTTCTACTAGTCGACAGGGATAGTAAGCTTTAGCCCAGGTAAGCCAAAACGAAGAACACAAAAAGAAAAAAAGAAAAGAAGATAAAAGTAAAGAAGACAAAGCAGAAGAAAGTAAAACACATTGCAAGACAGAACCCGCCGTAATCATCCAGCATGACATCCATATTCCTGGTGCATTCTATTGAATACTGCACGTACTGAGGTATTGGCAATACGGGCCCTTTCAAGGTTACAAGTTTTCATGCTTCTCACTTTCGTTCGTCTAAGCCTCATCTAACTTAGCTAAACCTTTTGTGGAAGTATCTACTTTCCTTGTTCAGATCTTATCTTACAAGCAATAGCGATAGCACAGACCCTCAACTTGAATCCCGCGTGGCGCATTGCATGGAGCCCGAAGCAATCCGAGCAGTGAGCACGCCGGAGTGTTCAGCCTGCTCAGCTAAGCTTCTCGTGTCGCCCACCCCCTACTATCGCCGTGTCAAATACAAGACGGGCTTTTCAGTGCAGTGCCAGCTTGTTGATTTACCACGACACGACAAGCATCCGCGTTCGAGCATGAATCAGCAGTAGACGATGAACCGCATAACCTTGAACATGACACCTTCATGACAAACCGAGCATTGTCTTCAGACAGATAATTGGTGCATTGAGTAGGTGCATGACTTGGGTATACTTGGGGGCTGAAATGTGGGTCCCTAAGCTGAGCTGGTTCTCATCGTTCTCATCACTCTCACTAATCCATCCGTTGTATAAAGAGGCTGCACTCCATCGCAGACTCCTGCAAATGCCCAAGCATCCGACTCCCGCTTCGATGGCAACCGATATCCCTGCTTCAGATCCCAGAGAAGAGACTGATGATGTCCAGCTGAATCTTCTCTCTGCTCCCACAAAGGGCAGTCCAATGGCGCCCCTCCCCCACGAAATCCCTCTCTCCCAATCTCCAGATTCCATCAACAGAACGACACCCTCCCTATCTGCTTCGCAGAACAACACCGGCAAAACTGTAAGACTCACAAGCATAGACGACTGGATACTGGAGGCCGTGGCTCTGGTCGTCTCAGCCGGAACCATTGTCGCGATTGTCGCGATTCTAAGCCACTTCGATGGCCAGCAGCAACCGGACTGGCCCCGCGTGTCTCTCAACTCGGTGATTTCGTGGCTGAGTACCATCGCCAGTGCGGGCCTTATGTTTGCCCTCACCAACTCCCTGGGGCAGTTGAAGTGGGTATGGTTCGCGCGCCAGAAGAAGCGGCTGTCCGATCTCAAGCCGTTTGACTCGGCCAGTCGTGGGGGGCTGATTGGAAGCTTAGAGCTACTGTGGCTCCTCAAAGGCCGGTGGGTCTGATCCTTGGGAAAAGAAAGAAAGTGCTCTCTTGCTGACCCGCAATCAGTCACTTTGCCGTGCTTGGTAGCCTCACTGCGATACTCGCGATCGGATTCGATCCGTTCGTTCAGAACCTCCTTCACTATGTGTCGAGCGCCATCGAATCGCCCTCCCAGGTCTCTCTCCTCGGCGCCACATTCCTATATAACGTTGCTGGTCCAATCATTGGAGCAGATTGTAAGCGCAGTGATTCCTATGAGTAAAGTTCCATGCTTCACCTCCATTCTAACCAAGACGATTAACAAGTTCATTACGTGGATCCCATCCTTAAAGCCAACGTCTACAGTGCCCTCTTCAATCTTGATCCCACCGCCCCCTGGGCCACTCCCCAATATACCTGTCCAACGGGGAACTGCACTTGGGATCCGATATCCACCTTGGCTATGCGGGCCCTCTGCTCCGACGTCACGCCGCATATCAATCGCACATGCACGACCACCACCTCGGACATCCAGAACTGCACGGTGCGCCTTGGGGACGATGGACCCACCGCCTGGTACCGCGAAGGCGGATCTACCTCGCAGCCCATGGCGATGGCCGCCGTCGCCAGCACCGAGACCCTGGTGTACACGAACAGCACCTTCCCGGTAATTCAATACGTGCTCGCTGCCGGATCCAACAACAACTCCGAAGCCACCTGGGAGATCGCAGCCAGCATCAACAACAGCACCAGGTTCCTCGCCACGGAGTGTGCGCTCGAGCCGATCGTCCGAAGCGTCCGCGCCGCCGTCTCCTCCGGCACTTACATGGAAACCGTCCTGACCGAGTGGTCCCCCTATTACTACCCCAACGACTCCAGCATCTTTGAGTTCGCACTGATCCCGCCGACCGGGAACACGACCTTCGGAATGGGCTACGAAGCCTGGTCCTCTCTCACGTTCTTCGTCTCAACACTGTTCACCGGATTTGTCTACGCCTCATCAGGGACCTTCGGTTTCGCCGCTGGTTCCGCCGCCTCCTACGCAGTCACCGATACGATCGAGGCAATCTTCTACGGCAATTTCAGCACCACCGCCACCTCCCCGACGATCAGGAGCTATAACGCCCGCAACCAGTGCACCGACCAGCTCAGCTGCGCCGTGACCAACGTCGCTGCCGCCATGTCCAAGACCATCCGGGACGCGGTGTTCACCAGCAGCAGCAGCAGCAGCCGGACCGGCAATCAAACGACCGGCCACACAATGGTAATGGTCCCGTTTGTCGCGGTGCACTGGGAGTGGCTCACGCTTCCGGCGGTGGTGTGGGTGCTGAGCTGTGCGGTGTGGCTCGGGACTGCGGTCCAGACGCGGCGGCTGCATCTGCATACGTGGGGGACGAACCCGTTGCCTCTGCTGTTCTTATATCGGGGGACGGGGGCGCACGAGAACGAGAGCGAGAACGAGAATGGCAATATAAACGCGGATGTGGACCATCCCCGGCAGTTGGATCGTCCGACGGCATGGACGACGAGCGCTCTCGACCAGGCTGCCGAAAAGCTCCGGGTGAGGCTGGTTACGAATGCGCACGAGGTAGCGTTGCATGGTTGAGTGGCTGAAGAGTGATGAAAAACAAAAAATAGAAGGTACGTATCGCAATGCGTGAACAGAACAAGCTTCGCTCTTAGTACTTCACTTGTTGAGGCTCCGACAGGGCAAACAAAATTTGACCCTCGGCGTTTTTGCTATACGACTACAATATACTATTTGCTGAGATCACTCGAACCCCCGATTTCCTCTATAGAATAGGCTATCGTTACAGTATAATAGATACTTTTTCTATGTACGGTCAGCTATCACTATAGACAGTGATTGCTGACCTAGGTAAGAACAAGAATCCTGAAGATACTGGTTTCGGTATAACTGGGAGGAAAGATCTCGTTGGGTGGGTACGAGGTCACTGGGTGGGGGGCTGAAGGGTTTAGCAGTAGTGGTGAAGACAAGGTAGGTGTCAACCAGCAAAACATCATGGTGGATTCCTGGTTGAGTGGCTTGGTATATTTGGACCTCTCGATATGATATCACATGAACGTACGGCCGTGCTGTGAATTCCAAATGTCATGCACCTAATAGAGCGCGGAGTCCCCGCTGAATAAAATATGTTGCCCGCTGGAGGCAGGATGAAACCTCGGTCTAGTGGCTTTAGCACTGCTGAACTGACTATGCCTAGGGCTGCCGTGCTATCTGCTGTTCAATACTATTCTGAATGACACTAAACGGGCAAAACCTCTTCTATATTGATCGAGTACAATAGATGTTGTGTGAGGAACTGTGGTTTACATCATTCATCATAGAAACCATACTCATGGTACTAGGTGCATAAGCATGTTGCCACTCCAACAAGAATAGGTTGTGTAGTGTAATGGTTAGCACCCAGGATTCTGATTCCTGTAATCCCGGTTCGATCCCGGGCACGACCTTTTTGTGATTTTTACTGCGTCATGCGGAACGCGGGTTTCCGCCTGCTCATTGCTTACTGCTCCATACACATCAAATACTCACTGATAAACCATCCACCTTCACAAAACAATCACTTCAGAGCCTCTGCTCCTGTGAGATGCCATTCCCATACATCTACTCCGTAACTCGCCACTGCAGCACCCCGACCTCTCCTTCTAGCAACCGCATATAAAAAAAAGTCATCAATCATTAATACCCAGAACTGTACATCTATATCTATCTGTATCGTCCACAACCCCCTTCCCTACTCCATCCCAACCGGCGCCTCCCCCGCCGCCAAATTACACTGCCGGAACAACCGCACCTCTCCCTCCCCGAACGCGCCGACCACCGAATGCAGCACGCCACGGTTGTGGAACAGCACCAGATCCCCCTCCTCCCAGTCGTGCGGATACACGTACTGCGGACTGATGGCCGGGCGCTGTAGCCTGTACACGATGTCGCGGACCTGGCGGAGATCGTCGATGACGGAGCCGTCCTTCAGGTGGATCTTGCGCACGGCGGAGGGGTGGATCTGCAGGGCCGGGTGGCCGGTGACCGGGTTCTTCCACAGCATGGGGAGGATCTGGATCTTGGCCGGGTCGATGGGCGGGAGGTCGGCGGGGGCGAGCTCGCGGTCTTCCGAGTACAGGCCTAGGCCGGTGGGGAGGGCGCGGGCGGGGGACATCCAGATGTAGCTGGTTGCATATGTCAAGGTCAGTTGAGAGAACTGGTTGAATGGTGTGTTTCGGTTGGGGTTGGGGGCAACCGGCAGGACAACGTACGGATGGGGAGCGTATTCGACGCGACTGGTGCGGACAAACTCCTTGTCCGCGGCGGAGAGCCGGGAGTACATGCGCTCGCCACTGACGAAGGCGGTGGTGCCCAGCGGCACGTCGAGGGTCTCGTGGGAGCCGTCGTCGTAGCGGAGGGTCTGGCGGCGCCCGCGCGGCACGCGCACGGCCAGCAGGGTGGTGACGCGCGGCGGGTGCAGCCCGTAGAGCGCGGCGTCGATGTGCCACCGGTAGAAGCGGGTGAAGTCGTGGTCCTCGGCGTCCGGGATCGGGTCGCGGTGGAAGGTGCGGTGGTGCGGGTGCCGCAGCTGGATGTCGGT